GTGACTGGTCCCTTCTGGTTTCACCAGCCCTTCAGAACTCAACAAGTGGATCACTATTTAAAGACTGAACGCTGTTATAAATGAATTACTTGGCCTTTAATCGAAAAATACTGCAGTGTCTAAGATCAATTTAGTTAAAGATCGTCAGAAAAACTATCTAGTATATTTATTCCTTCGGGTTTTGGTTGCTGGTGAAAGTTTTTTTTTTAACTATTTGGTTACTGAACATCTGAAATTTCCTTTACATGACCTTTTACTCTTCCTTGACACCTTGCTCCGAAACTTTGCAATAAAAACTGTACTGTTTCTCGATTTATTTCTTCGTATACTTATACTTCCGTCTCAAAATATTACTAACCGCGTATTTCTAACATTCTTTTACTATAATTCCTATTCTTTTCCAGAATATTAATGACCGTAAGGTGTTTTGCTTTGAGAAATTTAAATATAACGCGCAACTCGAACTGTTGGAAATCGGTCAAATGTCATTTTTAGTAAAAATTTATTTGAAAGATAATGAATAATCTATTATGTCACTGTTCTAAAAATGCATTGAATAACACAAATTATTGCTTTTTCTTCCACAGAAAGTCTAAATAATATCTCAAATAAGTATTCCGCGGATATTCCGGTATCCACATAAGAAATCTTAGACACTTTAAAATATATGCGCCGATTCCTAGTTTCCCTACTGATCCAAAAATTTCGGTAAAAATCGCCAGAATTGGATACAATAGCCTTTTTCTTTCACCGGTATTATTTCTCGTATTAAATTATTAATTCGCATTAAATTAACTTTTGAAAAACAAGTTTGTTTTTTTTTTTTTATCACATATCTCCTCCTATACTGAAACACAGTTTAATTTAGGGCATAATTGATACCCCACAGGCCCGTAGGAAGCAATTTCATTTTGAGGGAGCACAACCATACATTTTCAGTTGGAGGGAGGGGGCACTATCAACTACCAAAATTTCTTGACAAGCAAAAAAAAAAAGGTCATCAGACGTTATTATTCAGGGGATACAAGCATATAGTAGCTATGTTTTATGTAGTATTCTATATATCGGCAAAATTATTGGAGGGGGGGGGGAACGGCCAAAAATCCTTGAAGGTCAATTTCGAAAACTGTAGAAAACTTGCTTGCCAAAAAAAGTAGTCTGTATTCAGTCTCTTATGGCGCTGCGTATTTAAAACATTTCTATAGTGACTGAGATATTTCCGTTATGTATCAGTTATCATTATTATGTAAAAAGTAAAGCTAAGAACAGTAATCGATACAACTCAAAAACCACAAAACATCCCTGCTCAGGACCCATCATTCAAAAATGTTTGTGAATGAGCAAAGCAAACAGATTGTCTAGTAGGGGTGTGACTTCTTCTGTTACATACTGTTATTTAGAGAATGTAGCCATTAAACTCTGTTACAAAGGAAACAAAAGTCTTTCATTTAAATTTCACATTAAGGTTGTTCGTGCCTGCCCAAAGGGTCAAATCCATGGAATACTAGGCTTTTCCGTGGACTTGAACACCCTATCATATTTATATCTTTTGACTGTCAACAACAACCTTATAAATATTGTGGTTTTGTCGAGGACAAATAACAGAAAACAAATGTACCGAAATCTATACTTTTAAATGAATAAATAAATTGTGCCAAAAAACTTCCAAACGCTTGCAACAGAGGTCATGCTTTCTCTTCTAAAAATACATTAGGTATAAGATGATGTCCGTAAACTATAAGTAGATTTCATTCGCAAAGTAATTATCGTTAGTTTATTTAAAAGTCTATTTTCGTTTTCGATAAACAGACGTGAGAAACAAAAAGATAATTCGAAATGGATAAATTTTGCGGATCTAAGTTATTAAGATTTAATGTTATTTATTAAATCGGTTTATCTGAGAGTCAAACACATGTTTGTATGGTACTAATTATCTCCCTTGATCATGTCACGCAGCAGCCGACGGATGGTAGTCTGAAACACAAAGCCGATCGTGAGGAAATTGCTGATATTCTTAGGTTTGTGTAATCTTCTCTGTTAACTTTGTTGCTAAATTATTGTACATAAAACCTTGTAGGATATGTATGTTAAAGTTTTCAGGCGGCATAGTTTAAGATTATACTAGATTATGGAGACGTTTTCACCCGCGTGTAATAGCCATGTTCGTCAAGCTTTGTTGTAATCTCATCTCACTTGTAAAACAAAGCTAAATTTCATATAAGTTTATTAAATTATCATGTTCCGCCTCTAGTTTATACGCTAGGTACCGTGGACACATACACTGGTTCTACTAAAATTGTGTTTGCACCCCCCCCTTCCCCATTTTAATAATATTAAAAAAAATTGATACAATATGAAAATAAATTTCAAAGGAAATAAGAATAGTTGCATAGCTTTGAAGGAGTGGGGGGAAGATATGTAGACATTTCTTAATTTTCTAACCATTCTGCTCCGGGGTCTTCATATGCTCGGGCGTGATGACGTCACGCGTCAACATTGTATATTTGAACTGTTTAAACAGCATTGCAATTTATAGTAGTTTCAAAAGACCACCTTGAGAAGACAGGGGGCATATTCAGATACTTTGGTGGGGTGACAGTCAAAAAAGAAAGGTAGACTTAGGTAGCGGGGTACATATTGACAAGTATAATTACACATACGTACATACTGTCATTTACAGGTAAGTGTAGTTATGCTAAAGGAGAGTGAAGCCTGTAACAAACTCTGCCAAAAAAATTCTTCAGAGTACAGATATTGTTGAAAAGTGCAAATGCACAAGTTTACATAATTTTCAGAATACAAGATATTGTTGGTAAGTGCAAATGCACAAGTTACAATTTAAGTGATTATAGTTGTAATTTACGAGTTCATCAGTTTTGCATGATTCAATTTAAGCATGCCACGGGGAAAAGGATTGAAAAGGCGACCTGCAGCTGCCAACCCAGTGCACTCTAGGCAGAAGGCAAGCAGAGCCATGGATTCAAGGGTGGAGTCGCAGAGCCAGGAGGGAAACCGGCTGGTAGGAAATACTAACACAGTCAACTTGCAGTTATCAGACGACCAGTTGAATGCCCTGGCAGAAAAGATAGCTACGGCACAGGCCATACCAACAATCACTGGTAGTAGCGACCCGCAAACACTTGGAAATTTCAATGAGTCAGACTTCCAGTGTTAATCATGAGCTTAATTACCATGTCTCAAACACTATCAAATCAAAGATTATCAACTCAGAATATATTGATCTAGCTTTGTTGTTACCCAATAATTTGAATGTAGATGATGATAGTAGGGCACTTTCACTACCTGATGGTTTGTTGATTGTAAAACCTAAAATGGTCAGACGAAAAATCACAACTTTCAGTGAGTGGACAAATGCATTTATTATTTATGCTAGCATTTTTTCAACAGCACAGCCCGAAAGCATATCCGGAATTTTCAAATACATGTACAATGTACGTTTGGGAGCCAGTAGGTTGCCAGTTACTAGTTTAGGGTGGAAAGCTTATGACATCCAGTTTAGGTTAAAGAGAGTAAATAATCCTTCCATTTCATGGGGCAGCATAGATCAGGAACTCTGGTTGCTCTTTATGTCTCCGTCTACTACTGGGCCCAGTAATAATTACAGTAAGGTTTCAACAGGCTCGCTGAAATGTTACGATTACAATTTTAATAGGGTCTGTGTTAGGAAGTCGTGTCAATATAATCATAGATGCTTAAAGTGTTCAGGTTTTCATCTTTCAGTGAAGTGTAGAGTTAACGTGGGCAGTTCGGCTTTTTCCACTTTTAGGAACCCTGCAGTCCAAGCTGGTAGTGGTCAAGCATACTCAGGACCACGAGCATCAGGGTTTAGAACGATTAGAGCTACTGTCCCTCGCTCATACTCCAATTAAAATAGAATGCCTTCGACCTTATTTGAATGATTACCATTTAAGAGACGATGCAGGAGAATTATTATTGGGTTTTCTTGAGGGTTTTTATTTGCATTACGAGGGCCCAAGGGGGGCCAATGAATGTAATAATTTAAACTCAGGACTAATGAACAGGAAGCTCTAGAAAAAGTTAGGAAGGAGGTTAGTTTAGGGAGGATAGCAGGTCCATTTGATAAGGTTCCGTTCATAAATCTACACGTATCTCCAATTGGTTTGGTTCCTATAGATAAGTCGTGGTGCTTGATTCATCATCTTTCACATCCCATGGGTGCAAGTGTAAATGATCTTATAGATAGATGTAATTGTAGAGTTTCATATACATGTACTTCATTTGATAAGGCCATTGACATGATTTATTCCCTTGGAAAAGGTGCCCTTCTGGCCAAGCTTGATGTTAAAAGTGCATTTCGTTTAATGCCGCTACACCCATCACAGTTTGTATTGTTAGGTTTCAAGCTTCGTGATAAGTATTATTTTGACAAATGCCTCCCGATGGGTTGTGCTAGTGCATGTTATCTTTTTGAAAAATTTTCATCATTTTTGGAGTGGGTCTTAGTGTCAAAGTCTTGGTTGCAAAATGTTGTGCACTATTTAGATGATTTTTTATTAGCTGGGAAAAAGAATACCCTCGATTGCAAGTTGCTTATGGAGTTATTTCAGGATATTTGTAAGGAAGTCGGAGTGTCTTTGGCAGATGAGAAAACAGTAGGGCCTACAACTGTTATCGAGTTCTTAGGTTTGGTGATTGATACTAATAACCAACAAATCAGGATCCCAAAGGATAATTGGAAAGGCCTTCAGTTGCATTGTTGGAAATTTTAGGCAAATGCTATTGAATGTGAATCTACAAGATACAACTGTTATCGAGTTCTTAGGTTTGGTGATTGATACTAATAACCAACAAATCAGGATCCCAAAGGATAAGTTGGAAAGGCCTTCAGTTGCATTGTTGGAAATTTTAGGCAAAAAAAGCTAACTCTAAAATGTTTGCAGTCTGTTATAGGGTTACTTAATTTTTGTTCAAGAGCAATCCCTTTAGCTAGGGCATTTAACAAGCGTTTTTTCGAAGCAATGGCAGGAATCACATCTGGTAGACATCACATTAGGGTTAGTAGAGAGTTAAAGGAAGATATCAGAATTTGGTTCAATTTCTTAGAGAATTTTAATGGTTATTGTTACTTTCAGGAGTTAGATTGGTAAACTATGGTAGATTTGCATTTGTATACTGACAGTGCTGGGGTGCAGAATTAGGTTGTGGTGCAATGTTAGGAGCTCATTGGGCTTATTTAAAGTGGGCGGCAAGTTGGGCAGACACCCCAATCATGGGTGATCTTACTTTTTTTAGAGTTGGTACCTATTTGCATGGCTGTTTATATCTTGGGGGATATTTTAACAAACAAGAAAATTATTTTCTTTTCTGATAATAAGGGCCTGGTATTTGTATTGAACAAAAAGTCTTCAAAATCAAAAAGAGTCATGGTGTTACTTAGGTCGCTAGTTTTGAACTGTATGTTAAATAACATATTCTTTAAGGCGCAGCATATTTATGGTAAAGAAAATTTTGTAGCAGATGCTCTTTCTCGACAGCAGTTCACTCGGTTCCGGCGGGAGCATCCACAAGCAGACGAGGCCCCGAGTCCTATTCCAGACGTTTTTCGACAAATGCTATTGAATGTGAATCTACAAGATTGTTAAATTCATCCTTAGCCTTGAATACGCGCAAGGTTTATGAGTCAGGCTTGAGGGAACTTAAACTTTTTTGCAATAAATATAAAATAGGGTCATCTAGGCCGCCAAAGGTTAGCTGTTTAGTTCAGTTCATTTTACACCTGTCATTAAAAGAGTGTGCTTACAAGACTGTTAAGACATATCTAGCAGGTATATCTTTTCACTGCAAGATTTTGGGCATGGAAGATACCACAAAATCCTTTATAGTTAACAAGCTTTTAGAAGGGTTGGGTAGAACTAGTGCAACTCGATCGGGATTTTAGAAAGCCAGTAACAACAGGTGTCTTAACTAAGCTTACTGGTGTTCTTGGGCAGGTGTGCTCATCCAGATTTGAAGAAATTTTATTCACTGCAATTTTTGTATCAGCTTTCTTTGGGTTTTTTTAGAGTCAATGAGTTAGTTGCTAACAGTCATTCAGATATCGGTCATGCATTAAGCTCTGCAGATGTTTGTATAACGGGTAAGGGAATAGAGGTTTTGTTGAAGCATTCAAAAACTGATCAGAAGGGTAAGGGAACTTTGATGATGTTGCCTAGGGTTAGAGAAGGGCTTTGCCCAGTTAAAGCGGTCTTTGACTACATGAGAATAAGACCACAATGTAAAGGATCATTTTTTGTGCATGCTGATGGTGTACCGGTGACAAGGTATCAGTTTAATGCTGTTTTAAAAATTGGACTTAAGGCTGCAAAAGTAGATGTGAGTAGTTTCAAAGCACATTCTTTTTGGATTGGAGCAGCAATAAACAGCATGTCTAGTTGGTCTTTTAGAAGATGAAATCAAGGGGTTAGGTCGTTGGAAATCAGCATCAGTTAAATCTTACATTAGAGTACCTAGTTCAAAACTGGCCAGTAGTTCATAGGGCTGATGCAACCAGAAGTGTAAGGTAACCATTGGGCTGAGTGTAAAGTCTTCTCTTTTTAATTTGTTGTTTGGATTGTTTGTAGTTATTGTAAATATGTTTAGATAATACTCTAACACTAGATAAGTGTAAATATGTTAAGACAATACCTAACAATATACATTTGTAGATGATATACATGCAGGTAGTGGTTCGGTTTGGATAGTAGGATCGTCTATCATTAAAAGAGCATTTATTGAGGCAAGATCTAGTGACGAGGGTGCAAAGTTAGGGTTAGGGAGGATAAATGTAAGTATTTTATGGCAAGGACAAGGAGGTATGCGTTGGCATCAATTGCTGGGGAAATTAAAACTCTTAAAAAAAATTGGAGGATCCTCCTAAATATTTAATTATTCATTGCGGTGGTAATGATATAGGGTGTAGACCTTCAATAGAGTTGCAGCATCATATGGTAGGGACAATAAGAAAAAATCAGGACATGTTTCCTACAACTGTTATTATTTGGTCACAAATTTTGCCCAGATTAGTATGGCGGGGTGAAAAGAAGCATGAAGCTTTAGAGCTTATTAGGCGTCGGGTGAACAGTAAGATTGGCACTTTGGTGAAATCTATTAACGGGCATTACATCACATATCCTGAGATATCGGATGGTGACTCATCACTCTTCTTACCTGATGGTATCCACCTTCAAAAAAGGGCAATAAAATTTTTCTACATCGTATTCAGCAAGCTATTTACTATGTACCTTGTTACAATTAAAGGCTTTGTTCATCAACCAATTAGAGAATGGGGTCCATGGCTGCTTCCGTCAGAGTATTTAATTTGAGCAAATTCTGTTCATTAATGTGCAAATGTCTTGGTTAACAAATTAAGTTGCCATTTGGATCTGCAATATCAATTCTAATGTGTTGTTTTGCACAAGTTGCGCACATCTTGTTAGGTTGCAGACAGTTTCCTCTGCTATAGCTTATTATATAAATATGTTTATTTACAGATAATAGGTTCTGTTAAGTTACTGAAGTATTTTGCAGACATCTGATTCTGCCATATGTTGTGGCACAATTTGTGCAAATTTAATTTGTTGCAGACGTTTGTTCTGCATTTAATATTTGCTATCTCAGCAATTTGTGACACAGTTTTGTGTAGTGGAATATTTACAGCTAGGTTAGTTATGGGGTTTAAGCTCGAAGCAAAGTTTTAGCCAGGCGCCCCATTACTGAAATTTGAATAGTTGCAACTTTAACCTGGTATCGCAAACATGGGGTTGTTGCAATTGCAAACTTCCGTTTCCTTTTAAACTACCACTAATGGAAGAGTAGCATTTGGGCGTCACTGGTGGCGGTGGCTATATTTGCATATAGGCAAGTGGCGCAGTTTTTCAGTCGCACCAGTATCGCCAAAGGAACTGTGGTATCATTTTATGAGTGAACATAATCAGTTTGCAGAAACTTTCAGCATATGAATCATTAACATTTTGTCATCATCTGTATGGTTACCAGTTGAACAACTGTTCCCAGGGTTCATCTGCTAACAGTTCATTAACTAATGCAGCCATGGCCGATTCTGCCAACGAGCAAGTAAAATCATATTACATGTATTTGTTAAAGTTGTTTTGCCTGTATTAAATTTTATAAAGTGAAATTTGGTGTTTGGCTTCTCTGATAATAGGATTTAATGTTATTTATTAAATCGGTTTATCTGAGAGTCAAACACAGCATGTTTGTATGGTACTAATTATCTCCCTTGATCATGTCACGTGATTTAGACATCACGCAGCAGCCGACGGATGGTAGTCTGAAACCCCTCCCACCCTAACCCATTACTGTATGTTACAAACTTCTGCTGGTTTTTTTTGTTTTATTTTGCAGGATATTTGGTGGAAAGAGTGTTGTTTTTTCTCCCAACTTCCTCATGGCTGCATTAAGTATGGATACCAATGCATGTCAGTTGGACTGAGTTTGCACAGCTTTCAGTCGCATCGGTATCGCAGTTTTTCAGTCGCACCAGTATGGCGCAGTTTTTCAGTCGCACCAGTATCGCCAGAGGAACTGTGGTATCATTTTATGAGTGAATATAATCAGTTTGCAGAAACTTTCTGCTTATGAATCATTAACATTTTGTCATCATCTGTATGGTTACCAGTTGAACATCTGTTCCCAGGGTTCATCTGCTAACAGTTCATTAACTAATGCAGCCATGGCCGATTCTGCCAACGAGCAAGTAAAATCATATTACATGTATTTGTGTATTTGTTAAAGTTGTTTTGCCTGTATTAAATTTTATAAAGTGAAATTTGGTGTTTGGCTTCTCTGATAATGGCAATTTTAAATGAATCTGACAACGATAATTTAACAGTTCATCAAACGTAATTATTAAAAATAAAAAAAAATATTCAATAAAAAAATTTAATTTTAAGTATCAAAGAACAGATGTGATCATTGATTTAATATGAAAATGTGCTTATCCATTGTTGTCAGTCATCAATCTCTTTCAGAGTATTCTCATTGAACCCGATGTTAATTAAAAAAAAGAAAAAGAAATGAATTGACAAGTAATATAATAACTACATGAAAATATAAAATACAGTTAGTTTTATAATATTTGATACTAACAATAGTGAATTATGTATAGAAAGACTATCAGCGAGTCAGTATATCCGCGTTTTTATCGTTGTTGAAAAAGGAAACGGAGCATCGTGGAAACGAACCCAAAATACAGTAAGTATACAAATGGTTACTCGTTACGTCACTGAACAGTCCGGGGAGCTATTCTAATTTTAATAGCAGAATTGCAAAATCGGTTAGGTGTTAATATATAGATTTCTTTTAAATATGTCACGTCTGAAATGAGTAATATCAAGGATTTCTTGAGAATATATATTTTAGATAAATACTCATATAATAGCATAACTCAAAATAGCAAAGAAAAATGCAGGTCTAACAGTGTGCATCTCATTGAGCAACGGTTCAGTTTTTTTAACATTATTTTCTTATTCCTTGCATAATTTAAGAGTTCCAATAATTCTAGGACCTTTTTGCGATTCTCTGAGGAAGATTATTTCCTCTGAATCAATTTTTTAGGAAATACCAGGTCGAACTATATTTTGTTAATTTTTTGTTTAAAATATCAAGGATTTTCATCAATTGATATCTGTTCAAAATTTCTAATTATGTATGCTGATTTTCCGTCTGGGAACATCTGATGGTATTATGATTGTAAATTAAGAATATCTTAGAAAACTATCGGCAGGAAAGGCATTTTATTGATTTAATTTGAACATATTTTATTGTAATTAATAATTACAAAGGGATTGGGCACAAGTTCTAAAACTTATTACGCCCTATGAACGAGGCATTGAGTTCTTAGGCAGCGGGGAATAACTCTATTTTATTCTTTTACTGACCGTGCCAGTTTGTCAATGTGGCATAATTAATACAAGTTCCTGTTTATTTTTATAATTTATTAAGAAAATCAGTTCCACTATATGATATATTTCTTTAAAAAGTAAGTAATATTTAATGTCAGACGACACGTTCCTCAAATATATGTTTTGTACACCTTGGAATTATGAAAAGAAATATTATGTTCATTCTATTGTGATTTCTATTTATGTTTTAAAAAATAAGTACACCAAAAATGGTTACATTGGCAATTCAAAACATTACCAATAAGGATTATACATGTATAAGAAATATCACCTTTGGTATCTTGCCCAAATACCTGGTAAGGTACCTCAATTCTTGGTGAGAAAACTTGTTAAAGTAGCTACATGTATACTTCAATGATAAATTCTTGGGAAAAAATTATATATTTTCGAGGAACATGTCGTCTGACCTAAACTGAAAAGAATAATTTTCCGGTCCGACAAATATCACATGATTGTGTATGTATTACAAAGCACATAATTCAAAGCAGAGAATTACAGGAATGTGTTTCCAGATGAAAATATGTTTTTTCGTCAAAAACACAAATGACTGATTTGTCAGACATTTTGGTCATCTAGCATTCGCTACTTTTGTTTCTTTACAGGTAATTTTGCATCATACAAAACTGAAGTCTGATCAGTACAGTGCAAATAAGGCAGAATTACCTTTTGAAAGAATGGGTATTTATCGATTTGTAAGAATAAATTCATTCTTAAGTATTAAAAAGACGATATGGTGTGTGGGCTCATGAGATTAGAAATCCTTTATCTATGATTTTTGTGTTTAAATGGTACATCATTTCTACGGATATCTGCATCTTTGTTTCTTATCATACAAAAACAATTTTTGACGTAAGGTAAAAATGAACATCTGACACTCAGGTGAAATTAATGAAAATTCTGAAACCTTATTGCACGTTCAGATAACGCCATCAATCTATCATAAGATAAAAAGGCTACTGCTTAAAATGTTAATGGAGATCAGGGGGTCAGGATTTGAACAAACTTGAATCTACACTACCTGAGAATGCGTCTTTATAAATATGACTAATTATGATACTGCATGTTGTTCTTCAGAAGAAGATTATTAAAACCATTTTCTTTATTATCCTATGTATGACTTTGATATCTTTTGTGGCCCTACCCTACCCGCGGGGTATCTTGGAGGATGCCTCTGTATAACTATAATTAATTTCGGCTTTGCACAATGCTGTATTTACAGTGTGTAATGAAGCGTTTACAATAGTTTCATCCTTTCTGGCCCTGTGGTTTTTAAGATTTTTATAAGATGCAACAAAATTTTAATTCTTGATAATCTCCCCTTGAAAAAGCTTGAAAAAAACTTAAATTCCCTTCACCAAGAGATGTTTTGTGGCACGTTTGGTGGAAATTGGCGCAGTGGTTCTGAAGAAGTCAAAAATGTGAGAAGTTTACAGACGACAGACGGACGCCAGACACTTTTCGATAATAAAAGCTCACTAATTCTAAAGCAGTGAGGTATTGTTAATTTGCAGAATTCTCAGTTTAATATTATCGAAAATAAAGTCTACCGTTCACGGTAGCTCAGTCGGTAGAGCGCTCGCTCCGAGATCAGATCTCGGCCGCGACAGACCTAAATCGATAAAAAAAAGAATGGGTAACAACTGTTCCTTTGCCATGCGCTCGGCACTTTGAAGTGAAAGTTGCGGGTCCTTCGGATGAGACCTTAAAAACTGAGGGCCCGAATCATTACAAGCGATGGCATGATAAATAATGGCCCTGAGTGCCGAGTAAAGGTCAAAATTTGAAGCCCTTCACCGCTTTATGGTTACGTCTCTATATGAGTGAAAAATTCTCGAATGACGTTAAACAACATACAATCAATCAAAAATTAAACCTGTATTCATGCATTGTTCTTCTTGGCGTTGATCGAGGACATATGCTTCAGTGGTATTTTATGTATTCTTTCTATAACTTTGATAATTAATCCAATCATGCTGTTTGCATTTCTTTTTTCTCAAATAACACAATTCATTTGATACTATATGTCTTTAATGTTTTCATAAACTTCCACTCATTCCGAATTTTGTTTTTTAACGGTGTTTTGTGTGTGTGTGTGTGTGTGTGTGTTTTGTCTGTTTCTGAATGTTTTAGTGTTGCCTTTCATTATTCAAAATTTGAATAAACAATATAATTTCCAAGATAAGAAAAATATACTGTTTCAAAATTTGAAACAGTAATCATTAATCCTATCTAGACTTGCAATCAAGTAACGTGTGAAAGATTGCATATACGCAGTTATTTACATTTATTCTCACCTTCAATGCCATCTTGTTATTGTTTTATTGTTGCAATGTGATAAGATGCATGTCTTACGCAATATACAAAAATAATAATAAATTCTCAGATGTATATCTTCAGACCAAGTAAGGACAGTAAACCCAAACATCTTCCACGTGATGACTTACATTACTGCTTTTGTCTTCAGTACACCCTTAGAGTTCATAAACCTGTACGCCAATGGCCAGAACAATCTAATTACACGTTTTCAAAAGATGCTTTGGTAAAAAGACGTGATATTCGCTGCCAAAACATATAATTATGATTTAATCAAAAATACCCATTTATTGTGTATGACGTATAAAAATTATTGAAGTTGATTGTGAAGCAGATGTTGCGATAAATTTTAATAAACCAGGCCCCAGGTTCATGAAACCAGACTTAGACTTAAGTCAAATTTTCAATCACCTGTAAAATGTTTATTAATTATTGAATCAATCTCTAAATTTGCAAATAAAATCACTTTTGTGAAGCAATGTTGAAAAATATTTTAATTCTGGTCTGCTTGACTTTTACAACAATTTAGTACAACAAAAAGTTTTTGACTTAAGCTTAAGATGCTTCATGATCCCGGGGCCTGATGCCTTCGGCTCAGGTGAGCTAAAAAGCAAAATAGATTTCCATTGTTCTGTAAAGCCAAATTTTAAAGCAGTGTGCTTATTGTAAATTTGGAGAATTCCCAGTTTAATATTATCAAGAATCCGCCTCGACGATCCATTCATTGTCATTCTTGGAGTTGATTGAGGACATACACTGTATGCTCTAGTAGTACATGTATTTTCAGTATTCTTCCTCTAACCTTGAAAATTTAACCAATCAGGCCGTTAACATCTTTTTTTCAAATAACATATCTATTTTACACTATATTCTTTAATATTTTCAATCAATCTTTAATTATTCCAAATTCTGTTTTTCATGTTGTCCTTTTCTGTGTTTTGCCAATTTCTGATTTTTTGAGTGTTGTCTTGTACTGTTTAATACGCGAATGAACAACTTGATTTCAAATGTTTTCATTCATTTCAAACATCAATAATTAATTCTATCAAAACGTGCAAGCAAGGGACGTGTGAAAGATTGTGTATACGCAATCAATTATCATTTTACTGGACACGCTTTGTCTTACTTTTATTCTCAGACGTTTATCTCCAGGCAAAAACAAGGGCAAGAAACTCTCACATATTCTACGCAGTGATTTACATTACTGCTCTTGTCTTCCGTGCACTCGTACTTGTAGAATTCATTACCATATTTGTTCACTACTCCTACAAGTAAGAGCCTCGGTTAAAGTCCCTACGCTCCTTATATACCTCGGACTCTTACATCCGAAGGCCATTTTCCAACGAGCTCGTTCCGTCTGAGATTTTGGGCGGAACATGTAATGCGTGAAATAAACTGTAAACAAGTAATTCTCAGGTACCTGTTTGCATGGGGGTATAAAATCCACTTTATTCAGTATGGATCATTGTTCATTAATCAA